CTTTATTTCGATCTGGCAAAAGGTTTAACAACCGATTTTTTGTCTGGTAAATTAATTCTGAGCTTTTAGATAGTTAAATAACATGCTATTAAAGTTTCAGCTATAGTAAAGTATTTTGAAAAAAAAAAAAAATTTTTTTTTTTAATTCAACATTACCGTTTGGCATCGTTTAAACAACAATAAAAGTATCTGGCAATAATAAATTTATGTTGTGAATAGTTCAATAAAAATAATAATAAATTTTAAAACGAAGTTAGATAGGACCCTGGAGGGAAAGGACGTAAAAAACTGTATAAAAAGCAAGTTTAAATAAAATCATTCATATCATGATCTTGTACCATTTTGTAGAAAAACACAATAATAAATAATAATCAGTCAATGGTGTTACTATATAGTTTATACAGTAATTTCAAGCGACATAGAAATGCAGTAAAAACTTTAACAAACTTATAAAAATTAAAAATATTTTTTCAATAAATTTTAAGCTATACCTAAGATGAAACATATTTATTCAAAAGAAAACACATTTTGTTGTCGTTTATTAATTGTATTTCAAACTAAAAGTCTATGAAATATTTCATTAAAATTCATCTGCTTAATATCGCAGTACCAATTTTCTTAAGGTTTGTTCACCTTTATCATAGTAAATTCTATGTACAATATATTTTTTTATAAAACTATTATTATTTTATACCATATCGATCTTTAAACAGTACAGTTAGTTAATTGTTAATAATTAAAAAATATTTTATAAAGCCAAATTATAACACTTAAAAAGTTATACATATTTTTAATTGATAAAGTTAATGGTGTAAATAAGGTGAATAAAAGATGTTTAAAATGTTGCGGTAAATTGTAGTTCAAAGTTACATCGCCCTTTCCATCACCTACCCTTCACAAACGCAATCTCTTGGGGGTCGGACTGTGCATCGGTAATACATACATGTTAACAATACATTTTTAAGTTTTGGCTTCATAAAGTAAAATTTAGTGCTTTAGAAATAAAAACTGAAAAAAACATCTATAGGATTTTAATTCACTTAAATGGCTTTAATATCTAATGTTAACAATTAACTTTTTAAACTTAGTCTTTATAAAGTATTATATTTTCTTTACAACATTTTAGAACACAAATTTGAATATTTTGACACCTGTTATGTGACGTGTCATAAGTGGTCGTTTAATTAAAATATAATTATCTTTATACGTAATCAGAGGACGCCTTAGGTTCTGGGTTAACTCGTCTATTCTACACGGGTCTGACTCAGCATTTCCGTGTGAAGACAGTTTTTGGTTTTATATTTCTTTTATGTTTTTAGATTATAATATTTCTTTTAAGAATTTTATTTTTTTATTTTTATTTTTATTTTATTTGGGAAACAAACAGTTATAAAAAAAAAATCAATCAAATAAAACATATAAAAGTACACAAACCAAAAAGCTTCCACCAATTACAATTTCATTAGGAGCACAAAACAATAATAATAATAACAATAATAATAATAATAATAATAATAATAATAATAATAATAATAATAATAATAATAATAATAATAATAATAATAATAATAATAACAATAACAATAATAATAACAATTTTAAGATAAATTAATTATGAATTACAAGCTTTACTAATTTCTTTCCTTATATTATTTTTTGTGCACATTGATAAATCTATATTTGAGAAACATTTGTTATATTTCTGACAGGCACGGAAAATAAAAGCATTTTGAGCATATTTAGTATTTGTTAAAGGTAGATGAAACAGGGACTGACGACGTGTATTAATTTTGGGACATCTAAAGCAAATATTTTCTAACAAAAAGGGTGAATCTATATAGTTTTGAAGGATCTTAAATAAGAACAACTGATCTCTCTCCATGCGACGGTATTCTAAAGACGGAAAGTGTGACGGCAAAAACCTATAACTACAATGTTTAAAAAATTTGCGCTGAATGTTCTCTAATTGCAAAACGTGGCATTTGTATAAGGGATTCCAAACAGTTGAGCAATATTCAAGGGTTGATCTAACTAACGAATTATATAATAGAATTAATGTATTTAGATTTTTAAAATCCCTACCAGTTCTTAAGACAAAACCAAGCATTCGGAAAGCTTTAGCTGTAATGTAATCAATGTGGGACTTAAAGGTTAGCTTACTATCAATGAGAATACCCAAATCTCGCACCTCGGTTACTCGTGTAATAATACTGTTGTCTAGATAGTAATTGAAATTAATAATATCTTTAGTTTTCCGAGTGAACGAGATAACGTTACATTTCCTTACATTTAAATACAGATAATTATCTGAGCAGTACTTACATAATTTGTCTAGGTCATTTTGTAGTAGTATGCAATCAGAAGTTTGAGTTACTCGTCTGAAGATCTTCATGTCATCAGCATATAGAAGAATATTTGAATTCTCGAAAACTAATTGTATATCATTAATAAATATATTAAACAGTAGAGGACCGAGGTGCGAGCCCTGGGGCACACCGGAAGATATAGGCACGAAAGAAGAAGTATGTCCCTTAATTGTTACAGCTTGACTACGATTCTCCAAGTAAGAAGACAGCCATCGAAGTAGATCACCATGTATACCGGTTTTCTCAAGTTTATGTACTAATAATGCATGTGGTATCTTATCAAATGCCTTGGAATAATCGGTATACACGACGTCCACCTGGTATCCTTGATCCATTCCAGTAGATATATGATGGACAAATTCACATAGGTTACTTTCCGTGGATTTTCTGTTTATAAACCCATGTTGCTGATTAATTAACATTGGTCTAAGACAAGAGTAGATTTGGTCATAAACAATTTTTTCGAAAAGCTTCGCTATAGTAGACAATTTTGAAATTGGCCTATAATTTTCAATATTATGCTTGTCACCGGATTTATATATTGGTACAACATAAGAGCGCTTCCAAGTGTCGGGAATAATTCCAGAACTTAACGACTTAGAAAATAATATTAAAAGCGGATACGACAAAGATTCGCAACAAGATTTCAAAAAAATAGGCGGCAACCCATCCGGCCCCGAACCCTTGTCTATTTGTAACGTTTTCAAATATTTCTTAATGAGGCTAGTACTAAGTGTAACAAAACCGATCGATAAATTACTGCAGCAAGAGGCATGATTACTCGATGTTATTCCTGGGGAGCTAAAGCTAGCAACAGGCTCTGCATACACCGACTTAAAATAGTCATTAAATAGCTGACATATTTTGTTACCATCACTACCCACCTCATTCCCAAAGAACATATTATCAGGTATACCAGCAGCAGCCTTTTTAGACTTAACAAAAGTCCAAAAAAACTTGCTGTTTTTATTAATTTTTATCTCAGATTGATATATGTATGTGTCGTAACAATCAATTTGCACTTGTTTTTGACGAGCCCGTAAAAGACTGAAAGTGTCGTAGTCGGATGAACGTCCATAGATCTTCCATCGCCTATGAAAGTGCAATTTATTACGAATAATTTTGATTAATCCGCGAGAATACCAAAAAGGGGAAATGTTTATCACCTTTCATAACTTTTGTTGGAACATGTTGAGATATTATAGAGTTAATAGTATCATAAAACATATCAACGGCATCGGAAACACTACAAGAACTCAATAAGTCACACCAATCAGTTCCGGCTATAATGTTATTAATTTCATCATAGTTGGCTTTTTGAAATAAGCGAATTTTACGCGGTACTGAAAAGTTCTGGGTAGTGTTAGAAAGATTTAATTTAACATTAAGTGTCGGATGGTGAGCGTCTTCATTAACAAGATAAAAGTCACTAGGGCTTACTGTGCAATGAGTGTTACCAATTACTAGATCTAAGTAACGTCCGTTAACGTTAGGAACACAGTTAACTGCTTAAAATCAGTAAAGAAAAAATTAAATATGGAATCAATACCTGGGTCGTTATCATTAAAATTACGTAGATTCATAAATTCTCCAACTCTATCCCAAACAGCATTAGATATGTTAAAATCTCCAACCACTAAATAAATATCATCAGGATACAATAGTACTTCATTTGAAATAAGTTCAAAAAAATCACACAGACATTCACTATGGTAACTGCCATGAGGGAAATAACAACAATAAACATGAAATCGTCTTGATATGGGTTCCAAGTCAAGTACGATAGAGACCTTAATTATCTCGGCTGCATGATTTTTAACCACAATTGATAATGATGAACGAACCGATATGTCAGACTTCACTGCAACTAAAACGCCACCACCCATACTATCACTGCGCTTATCATAGTTACGATCATGTCGATACACCGAATATCTGGAATCAAAAAGTTCTTCACTAAAAATACCCTCACAAAGCCATGTTTCGCTTAAACAAACAATATCATAATCAACATTAATTATTTTCCTGAAAAAGGAATTAGTCTTAGTACGTAAGCCGCGTACATTTTGATATAAAATTGCAAAGTCTTTAATCATTGTAAACACAAGGAATAAGTATCATGTTACTAGTCCTTATAAATACATTCGCAGGAGAGAGCATATTTAGGTATGTGTTAGATATTAATACTAATAATTTTTTATGTCCAAAATCGTGTCCAAAATAGTAACATAAAATAACCTGACGTCCCATAGCTGTGCTCAAAATACTTGATTCCAATAACATAATTATTAACATAAATAAAACAATATAAAATATTTGAGAAAGACATACAAAGCTACTTATACAATTTTTTTTAAATCACTAGACTTCACGAAATGCAAAACCGGACTCGTGTTAGAACGCCGGGCCATAATGCTGCAGTTTTTGACCCACACGAACTCATAACCTTTATCTTTTGCCGCTTTCTTAACAGATTGCAATAAGGCTTTATTTTGACTAGTGAGGTGGTCATTAAAAAATATTGAATTATTGTTACCATTGAAGCCTATATCACAACATTTCAGTTTTAGTTTCCTAACCGCAGACAAAAATTCATCCTTTTTCCATCTACATATAAAACGCACGATAATCGGTTTAGATTTCTTCACATCGTTTTTTTTTAGAAGCGACTCTGGTGATGAAGTCAATATCCGTGTTTATATTAAATTGTAAGTGTGTTTTATCAAAAACTGTTTGTAACAACGAGATCAGGTTCTCATTTTTTCTTTCTGGAATCCCATAAACCTCAACATTAGATTTTCGGGCCCACTGTTCTCGGTTATTATTATTAAATTCAATTTCTTCCACAGAACTGCACAGCTTACCGATTTCCATACATTTTTGAGTTAAAACATTCATTTCACCTTCACAGCATTCAATTCGTTTATTAATTTCATCAAATTTTGAATTTATAAAATCCAAACTTACTTTTATTATTTCAAATTCTTTTTTAAATGTTTTTAACTCTTCTTGAATGGGATACATAGAAGTTTTAAAATCACCTTTTAAACTGGCTAATTCTTCTGAGATTATAGATCTAATCAATACAATAAAAGATGTTTTATCAGCAGAATCCAAAACAAAATCCTCATATATACCAGAAGCAGCACCTCTACGCGAGTTTACATTACTTTCATTGGTCTGCACTCGCACTGGTGTACTGTCGTTTCTCGCAGTTCTGGGTTGATTTATTGTGCATTCAGGACAAATCCAGTGTTTTTTTAATTCCAGTGATAATTCTTTACGTTTATCGGTTGGGTGTAAGCATCTAAAGTGATAATTGTGACCACACTTTGTACACAACAAGCAGTCACTAGCGACACCTGTCGTCAAATTGCAGCAAGCAAACTTCATTTTAACTTGTCTTTGTAATAAGGCGCTCAGAAAATTATTATAATTATTTAAAAACGCATATCGGTTCCGGTGGGGTTTGAACTCGGAATCGTCGCGGTAAGTGAGGAAATCAAAAAGCAAGCTTACTATACGTTGGACCAAACAAACTTTAAGTTATTGTCTCGAAACTAGGCTACTTATAATAATTAAGGCGAAGCATAAAGCCAGGTAGCACATTAAGTTCTTTTGTTCTTCAACGGTCACACTAAAGGTCACTGCAAGGGCGTAGGTCACACTATAGGTCACTGCGTATTAACTAAATGAAATCACCACTAAAACTGTGAAATAAAACACTCACATATAGGAATACTTGTTAAGATGCAGTTCAAACAAAACTGTACGTTAGGTATTATTATATTAACACTATTTATGCAATTATAAGACGGACCAATTTAACAACGTGTGTGCTCGCGTATGTAACAACTGAGACTGAATTTTTATTTGATTTATTGTCACTATTTGTTCAACCTTCGTGCAACATAGTCGCAAACCTAGTTGTAACTTACTTTTATTTAAATTAAGTCAAATAATTTTGGTTTCATTGCATCCACCGAGCGTCGAAATCATAATTCACCGTTTGTATTTTGTGGATAAACAAATTGTGACGTCAGCACCTCGCTTAAATGAACGTTGTTTTAAAATATATCATTTACCGCACTAAAGAAATTAATAAATTTTATATACATTTTTCCATGGAACACCGCTAATTCCTTCTTATTTTGTATATATTTCTAAACAAAAAATATTCAAATATAGTTACACATTTAAATAAATATAGATAAAATCGAAAGTTACAACGATTTCGAAGTCGTATCTGAATTGTAATAATGATTTAATTTGATAACATTTAGCGAAAGAAACTTTTTATTTGAAGTTTAGAATTAAAGGAAGGATTTAAATATACTTTTGGTTTGACTGACGCTATTATATAAATTTTACTCGTCTTTACAATGTCTGATGTATCAATGGCATTAATAACAATAATGAAGAAAGACGTGATTGTGTATGAATAAATAATATTATTAACATCATTTAAATAGACATTTATAAACATTCTTAGATAGATAACTTTTTTTACTCTAATTCTTTAAAGAAGATATCATCTTACAGACCTCACAAGTAAAAGGCGTACTGTTTAAATCTTCTACGATATAGGTAAACTTACAATTTAATATTTATTTTTCTTAAATCTTTCAACTCCAAATAAAGAAATTTGAATCACATATATTTTTGTTTAGTATAATTTTATTGAATTTTATTTTTATTATTTCACAGACCTGCAACAATAAAAAAGATTCCTCAATAAAAATAGTTATTATTGAGAAAGGTCAATGTAGAAAGAATAAATTATAGAGGGAGAAAGAATTAATTATGAGATAGAATGTCCGTGCCTGGAGTAATATTATATTAGAACAACAAAGTTTTTCATACAGAATTGCAAATATTTACGAACTGTATACAATTTTTGCGTCGTGAAAATAAAATCTGTTAATACTACATACTTGTTTAATTTAACGATGCCGTCGGGGGATTAAAATATTAATATTTTATTAGTTACTATAGTCTAGGACAGGCCTCCAGTGAAAGTGAGCCGGCGCAATATCCACTGTGTCTCAACATCGCTCGGTAACATGATGTAGCATATGGACACTTGCTGCGCGACGTGCGACCGCTGTATATTGAGAATATTAAAATTATACTTTAGTATGTATTAAACATTTGGTATATTATTTATCTAATCTTTCTTCATTAGAAAATATAGAGATATTAAAAAGATGATATCACAATATAGTAAGGGCTACTAAAATAACATTTTTTTTTGTAAAAGTTAATGAGTGTTTTCAACACGATAAAGGAAAAACTACGTCTCTTTACTGACATTCAATAAATCTGATTGTATTCAATGTTTGCAGCGTCGTTTTATCAAGTGGTTATACTAACAGGAAGTGTTTGTCACTGTCAAGCGGCGTGTCACACTCGCGACACAGAAGACCCTCTTGTATGACCAACGTGACACCTTCATACGTGTCGCTGATGGCGTGACACGCGACGTCCTTGATGGGAGGGCGGGCTTTGTTCTGAAAATAATATATTATTATATAATTGCAGTTTGTTAATTGTAGATAAATAAGCAGCAGTATATACAAGTAGCAGTAGAGTTATATGACGTACATACCTTGGGCAGGTTAATCAAGTGCTCAGTAGAACACAGAGGTAGAACCTCCTCGAACGGGTTGTGGTCTCGAATCTGATGCTCTTTCAGTTGACCTGAAAAATATTATACGTATTAATGTGTGTATTGAACTCATTTTATTGCAAATGAAACTAATATTTTTCGGATATACTACGCTACTTGATTTTTGATAAAAAACTACATACTCCCGACGTTTCGGCTACTTTTCAGCAACCGTGATCACGGACAGACGAGATGTGAGCGTTTATTTTTATTGTATAATGAGACTAGAAAACCCGGCGAACTACGTTTCGCCACCAGGCTTTGTTTTATGTAACATTTCGTTTTGTGATTAAAAGATGAAGAATTTTTTTATTGTTTTATATTTGAAAAGGAAAATTTTTAATTTCGTTTCATAAGAGTAATGAATTCATTTCGATTACAGAAATGTAATGTTATTTAGTTGAACTTCTCTAAGTAAATAAAAGTGAATCCAAAGTAGATACCGAATCGAAGCGTTATACGTGTCCGCAAATTATCCGTTTCATTGAAGTGCTCCTTTGTAAACCACATTTTTTGTCTTTTGCAAAGTATAACTGCCCAAGTGAAAAACAATGATTTTCTAAATTTATCCCGCAAATACTAAATGGTTTTAAGAGTTTAAACTACAAAAACACTACACCGGTTTGTCACATGAAATTAACTGAGCAGAGAACAATGAGTAGCCTTCAAACAATGTATCATACACCGGCACCATCTACTTAAAATATTGATTTGTAGTACTGTTACCTATCAGAGATTGCGCTGTATGTGAAAAAAGATTGTCCCGCTTGAATGCAAAACCCTGGAAATCGGTTCGGTCGTTCTGGAGTTGCATCAGGAAGAAAGAACGGACTTATTTTTATATAGTAGATTTAAGACTTGCGAGTATTAATTTAAATGAAAGTCATATTTTCGGAATACTTTGCGTATTTTATTATTTTTAAAAATACCACACTCCCGACAACTCGTCTGCCTTAATCATGGTTGCTGACAAGTAACTGAAACGTCGGGTGTATATATAATAGTTTTTTAAATAATAAAATACGCGAAACAATCCGAAAATATTAGTTTCATCTGTTTATATAGTACTTACAGTTGTACTGTTCACCGAGACGTACGAATCTCAGCACACATCTCGTACATTTAATCTCCAGCTCCTTGTCCTGGTGTTGTTTGAGATGGTCCATGTAGAGGAGCACGTTGGCCGTCAGCTCACAGCCTTCAGCGTACACTGGAATCATCTGAAGACAGATATACGATGATTTTAATTTCTTCTACGTAGTATACTATTTGATGTGACGTCTTAAAAGTAATATTGAAACTGAAATAAATGAATTCCTCCTCACGAAACGCATGTTTATTTAAGCCGTTTTTAAATTACTTTAAGAGTTTTGAATAAAGAGCAAATATGTTCTATAAAATTGTTATTAAGACATGAAAATTTTATTTTGATTTTATATGACATGAAAATTTGGTTTATTTTGTTAAAACTAGGCACTATTTAAGCTTATTGAGCTATCGTGCCTCGCGCCTGAGCGGCAAATGTCATAATATATTATAATATAATCGCAAAACAGTATGAGTAATCACTAGTAGATACTCACAGGCTCTACTTCATCAGCAGGTTTTGGTTCTTCCCTGACGGTGTTGGCCCGTGCTAGTTCCTCAGTTAAGTACGCGCTTGTGTGTTGTGTCACGAGGAGATGAGATAGAATGCCCGTGCCTGGAGTAATATTATATTAGAACAACAAAGTTTTTCATACAGAATTGCAAATATTTACGAACTGTATACAATTTTTGCGTCGTGAAAATAAAATCTGTTAATACTACATACTTGTTTAATTTAACGATGCCGTCGGGGGATTAAAATATTAATATTTTATTAGTTACTATAGTCATTGGGTATTTGTATATTTTATATTGATTTATATATGCTGCTGGTCTAACAGTTACATAGTTAGTTATAAAATTTATAAAAGAAAATGAAAATATATTATATTGATTGATATCCTATAACCAGTGTAAACTGACTTATGTCTGTAGAGTATTCGCAGACGCGTGGGAGCGGGTCTAGGAGAGGCCTCCAGTGAAAGTGAGCCGGCGCAATATCCACTGTGTCTCAACATCGCTCGGTAACATGATGTAGCATATGGACACTTGCTGCGCGACGTGCGACCGCTGTATATTGAAAATATTAAAATAATACTTTAGTATGTATTAAACATTTGGTATATTATTTATCTAATCTTTCTTCATTAGAAAATATAGAAATATTAAAAAGATGATATCACAATATAGTAAGGGCTACTAAAATAACATTTTTTTTTTGTAAAAGTTAATGAGTGTTTTCAACACGATAAAGGAAAAACTACGTCTCTTTACTGACATTCAATAAATCTGATTGTATTCAATGTTTGCAGCGTCGTTTTATCAGGTGGTTATACTAACAGGAACTGTTTGTCACTGTCAAGCGGCGTGTCACACTCGCGACACAGAAGACCCTCTTGTATGATCAACGTGACACCTTCATACGTGTCGCTGATGGCGTGACACGCGACGTCCTTGATGGGAGGGCGGGCTTTGTTCTGAAAATAATATATTATTATATAATTGCAGTTTGTTAATTGTAGATAAATAAACAGCAGTATATACAAGTAGCAGTAGAGTTATATGACGTACATACCTTGGGCAGGTTAATCAAGTGCTCAGTAGAACACAGAGGTAGAACCTCCTCGAACGGGTTGTG